TTTCCAGCGGATGTCTTAGTTACAACATGACTGAGCTAACTGGAGTAGTTTCATGTCGTATCCGACAACGGGAGGCTTTTAACAGATGACGTCCTGATGTTAGCTTTGCTGCTAGTGTTAGCTGTCCCTGTCAGCTGATGCTTTCTAGACATTGTGATTTCCCAAAACTGAATAAATACCACACATATCAACACAAAACTGCTTTGCTAGCTCAATCATGTTGTAACTAAGATATCCGCTGGAAAAAATATTTTTTTCACGGGCTATTTAGTGAGGTTTTTTTTACATGGTGGCGAAAGCTATCTGAACGAGCTAACCCTCGTCTGCTGAGTTTTAAAAATGCCGGCTATTTTGTTGCTTTCTGTTGACGTCACATCCCTCCTTGAGTATATCCAATCAGCACCAAGTAATCCCCAAGCCCCAGCCAGGAGTTTCTCAGGGCCGTTCTGAGTACCTACCCCGAGGCAGGGACTTGTTTAGCCCCTGTAAAAGTTCCGGAACTCTGTCCTTCAGGGGTGGTTCCTGCGGTGGAGACACGCACCAACGGCCCCGGCCCCGTAAAATTACCCCGAAGTTCCTGCGGTGGAAACGGGCCTTGTGTGAAGTATAAAAACACCAACCAGCAGCTGCAGTTCCTCTGACGTCCACCAGATGCTGCTGTGATCAAAATGTGCATTGAAGTGAATGAAAAAACTTCTCTGTACAAACACAAAGTTCAACTCAGAGGGATTTTCAAAATAAAGGTTCTGTTGGGGAAATATTAAGGCTCCAACAAGGTCGAGGTCTTCACGCCTCCACTTGCTAATATACATGTTATGCTAACATTAGCCAGCAAGCTAACTGTAGCTGATCCATTCCTAAGTAAAGGGCATTCACTGCTGTTTAGCTATCGAGCTAACGTAAATTGGCTAATGCTGCTTTTTAAAGTGAGTTAGCTCATTCTCTAACAGGAAAAGAAAATTGAGGATTTTGAACTAGATTTTAATCACCAAATACTATTTTTACATGACAATAAATAAACAAAATAATGTATATAATTAACTTTTAACATAAGTAAACATGAAATTAAGTTTTCATTTTATTGTTAATAAATTAAGTTGTTTTTTTTTATTTTAAATTTATTTTATTTTTAATTTCAGTAGAGATTCAGCTCAATTTTCTGAAGCAGTAAAAATCACACAAATATAATTAAATATAAAACTAAATCACACCTATAATTAACTCAGAGATTTATGTGTTTTTTTTTTGTTTTACTTCTAATTTGTTTTATATAGTTTGCTTTCCTGATTTATTTGAATTAATTTTAGCTAAATCAGAGTTAACATTTTACATTTTCACTAACCAGCAGTGACAGTTTGGGTTTTTATCACCGAAATACAAGAAATATTGTCTAACTTTTTTTCAGTTTAGTTTCCTTTGAACTATTTTTCTTTTTTTTTTTTTTTTTTTTTAATTAAGTTGATTTTAAATTTAAGATCTTATTTCAGGACAGCATAAAAAAATATCAAGAAAATTCTGAGTTTTTTTGACACGCTTGCAGAAAGAAATAATTTGGTTTATTATAAACTGAATTTAGCTGTGTTGATGGAAGTTAATAGTTTTGTATTTTATATGCGGGGTGAGACTAATTTTGGTGTGATGTGTTGCACGTGTGCAGTCGAGGTAAAACCTTGTGATGTGGGCGGGGCCATCACGCAGTGAAAAACAGGCTCTAAAATGTCCAAAACCTTCAGGTGATGTTTTTCTCCTCCGTGTTTCAGGTGAGTTATTGAGTCAAATCCACCTGACCAGCGCTGTCGTCATACATGAACAACACCTCAGAGAGTGAACAGAGTGTTTCTTGATGTCAGCAGTGACACCTGTATGTATTTAAAAGCAACTTCCTGTCAATGTCAGGGTGGCCACCTGAGGCCACAGGTGTGTCAGTTAGTGTTTATTTAAACTCCGCCCGTTAGCTGCCGTCCCTCGCCCCGCGGTGCCCCGCGACAGCATCCCTGGATCTTTAGCAAGTGGGGACACGGGGCTCGGCTGCCCCCCTCCTGTCTGCCCAGGAAGCCGTTCTCGGGCAGAGGAGGAGGGCCACGGCGGGGGGCGGAGTCTAGAGGCAACGCAGCGTGGGCTGGGACTGATGGAGGACAGTGTCTGCTGGCTGCCGTTTAGGAAGGACGAGGTGTTGGAACCCTGATGACAGCGGTAGTTATAGTATGCCTGCCAGCCCTGACGCTTCCTCTTCCATTGACAGCGAAGGATCCGGATGAACGCCTGAGAACACACGAAACAGGAACAACTCTTGTGACATCACCCTAACTGGACCACAACACACATGGGACACATTAAACATATGAAAAACATGAAACACATGGAACACATCAGACACATGGAACACATCAGACACATGGAACACATCAGACACATAGAACACATCAGACACATAGAACACATCAGACACATGGAATACATGGAACACATCAGACACATGGAACACATCAGACACATGGAACACATAGAACACATCAGACACATGGAACACATCAGACACATGGAACACATAGAACACATCAGACACATAGAACACAACAGACACATGGAACACATCAGACACATAGAACACAACAGACACATGGAACACATAGAACACAACAGACACATGGAACACATCAGACACATAGAACACAACAGACACATGGAACACATCAGACACATGGAACACATGGAACATCAGCAGTAATGGTACCTGTTTGAACTCGCGGCTGTAGCAGGGGTAGATGATGGGGTTCAGACAGCTGTTGAAGTATCCCAACCAGAAAATGACTTTAAAGAAAGTTTCAGGAGGACGAAGGCTGCTGTTGAAGGAACCTGATCTCACACACACACACACACACACACACACACACACACAGATTAAACAGAAAGAACAGATTTCCTCTGCAGGCGAATTTTAGCAGAAACTCTCAAACAGCTGCAGGTCAGATTTTTCACCACCAGAGGGCATCCTTTACCACAGCACCAGATCATCATCATCATCATCATCATCATCAGTTTCTGCTGCAGCTTTACACACAAAACACTTGATTTTGATTGGCTGCAGGATGATAATCAGTGACCTCATCAGCACCATCACCTCCATCTGTCACCCTCTCCTTCCCTATCATCTCGCTCCCCTCTCCTTGTCTCCTCATCCCCTTGGATAGCTACCTAAGGAGAGGGGAGCTCAGTGTGTCCTCAGCAGAAGTCTATCATCAGGCGCCGTGACTACGGAGCCCCCGAGGGTCACAGGGAGATTTTTTATGTTTCCGTGTGTGATGGATGAACATGGCTCACAGTATGAGTCACGGCCGGAGCTGCACTTCAAACATTTGAAAGGTCGATGAATCGTCTTGTTGTAATTATGTTCTGCTACGAAGGGTCAAATGAACGGCTGAGGAAATGCTGTGTGTCTGTGAACGCTTCATGTTCAGCCGTACGTGCTATTAAAGGCTCATGTGTGATAAATCCTCAGAATAAAGACCATCATTTAATTAAGTGTTATGGCATCCCATAAACTCTACAGTACAATCAACACACATCCTTACACAGCTGTGTGGACTGTTACTGTACAGACAATATAACAACATGCAGCAGCAATGTGACCCAGAAGCCAATAAAAATACACGTCTATTTTTGACGGAGTTGCAGCACGTCGCAGAGAGCAGATTGAGTCTTGTTGTTAACAGGAGCTGTGTGAGAAATGCAGATAGAATATAATTATGAAGATATTTAATACAGCCACATATAGTTGATCCATGTTGTTCATAACTGGACTCTGTCTTCAGGCTCCAGCACAACAACAACAAACACAATTAAATCAGACAACAAAAGAAACCATTTATCAGAGTTGTCACTGATGGTAGAAATACAAAAATCAAGACAAAATGACCAAAGCAACAAAATCTGCGAGTCTACAAAATCAGGCAGGCGACACTCCGCTTCTAAAACACTGCTGGTGTGATGTGATACCTTAAAACACTGTCGCCGCTGCCCTCGGAGGAACTGTCCCTCCCAGCTCCTCAACAGGACAACACACACTTGGACCTCAGGTGGATTTACACTTGTGTGTCAGCTCTATGCAGAGCCTACACATGTGACCTGTGACGCTGTGAGCATTTACACTTGTGCAATGGTGTGTCTGTTTAGTGCTTTAAAGTTCAGTTGATTCACACACACACACACTAAACACACAGTAAACACACATTAAACACATTAAACGCACAGTAAACGCACATTAAACACACATTAAACACACAGTAAACACACATTAAACACACAGTAAACACACATTAAACACACAGTAAACAAACACACATTAAACACACAGTAAACACACATTAAACACACATTAAACGCAAAGTAAAGGCACATTAAACGCACATTAAACACACATTAAACACACAGTAAACGCACATTAAACACACATTAAACACACATTAAATGCACATTAAACACACAGTAAACGCACATTAAATGCACATTAAACACACAGTAAACGCACATTAAACGCACAGTAAACACACATTAAACGCACATTAAACGCACATTAAACACACATTAAACACACAGTAAAC